CACCAAAGTTTGCTTGAGAGGAAGAGGTCGTTTGGTCTTGTCGTTCTTCTTCTTGTTCTTGGACTTGGGTGCGAACCCAACTCCCTCCTTGGCCACAACTTCCTTTTGATTGCTCACAAGGTCGTTGAGGTTCTTCTCACCTTGAATGCATGTCACAAGGCCTTTCTCAAGTTGATCCTTCAACTTGGCATTCTCCTCCACAAGATGCACATGCTCACAACACGGGTTAGTGGCATTTGCATTATCAATTAATACCATATGAGGAAAGGTGGCCTTTTCTTTGGTTAGCTTAACTTGGAGTTGAGCATGAGACTCCTTGAGGCTAGCATGAGAACCCTTCAAGACCTTGTGGGCCTTGTCAAGTAAATCAAACTCCTCCTTGAGTCTAGCATGGTCAACACCAAGTTTAGCCTTCTCGGAAGTTAGCACACAACACACAACAAGAGCATGATCAAGATCTTTCTTTAACTTAGCATGGTCATCGTTGCGTGACTCCTCAAGAGCCAAACGATGCCCACGCTCTTCCTCAAGAGCATTAGAGAGATCCGATATCTCATCAGCATAGTCACGACTATGACCTTCCATCTTAGAGATGGTTTCTTCGTGAGCCTCGATCATGTCATTGGCTTCACCAAGTTGTTCCAAGAGAGCAACAAAGTGCTTCTTGGATTTTCCCTTGAGCTTACTCATAAAAGACTCAAATTCATTCACTTCCTCATTAGACCCGTCACTTTCATCAATGCCATCCGTCAAGGAGGGATTAGTAATGATGGTGGTTTTGATGTTGGGGGTTACCTTGTTGGTGGCTTTAGCCATGAGACACTTGGCGGTGATGTTCTCATTGGGTGAGTCGAAGAGGGACACCCGTGGAGTTGTGGCAATGGCAACGGAGGCCATGGCCATGGCTTCATTATCTTCATCATCATCGTCATCCTCATGGTATTCTTCTTGAACCACCAACCATCGAGTAGGAGTCTTTTTGGTGAAGTTGTTCTTGTTGGGGAAAGACTTGGCTTTGTCCTTTCGGATGAGCTTGCCACCATTGTTTTCCCGCTTCTCGTAAGGGCAATACACAACAAAATGGCTCACATTGCCACAATTGTAACATGTTCTCACACGTTGCTTGCTCTTGAGCCCACTTGAGTTGTTCTTGTTGAAGTTGGGCCTTGTGTTCTTCTTGCTCCAAAATTTCCTTGACGCAAGAGCCATATATTCATGATAGTCATATTTTGTATCTTCGGGGTTGCTCTCCTCATCTTCCTCTTCTTCCTCTTCTTCCACAATAACCTTGGCCTTCAAGGCAAGGTTGGACTTCTTTACCCTTTGTGAGTGCAACACCGCGTTGTCGGCGGTCTTGTCCAAGATCCTCATTGCCACAAACTCATCCAACACTTTGTTTGAGGTCAAGGAGTGGAAGTTCGGTCTTTGATGGATGACGGAGGACAAGGCCTTGTGGTAAGGCATCATTGCTTTAAGAAACTTGTGCTTGATCCAATTGCCATCCGTGTCCTTGCTCCCATGATCTCGGAGTGAGACCGCAAGTTTGGTGACTCTCCGGAAGAGCTCACGAGGTTCTTCATCTTCTTTCATTGCAAACTCATCGGCTTCATCTTGCACCACTTCATAGTTGGAGTGTTGAATGCTTGCACTTCCCTTATAGAGGGAAAAAACGCAATGCCATGCGTCTTTGGACATGGCGAAGGGTCGAAGATGAGGGAGATCTTCGGGAAGAACTGCATCTTGAATGATGAAGAGAGCATTCTCATTGAATTGATGGTCCATGGCTTCTCTAGGGGTGAAGTTGCTTCGGTCATGTGGATGAAAACCTTCTTCAATGATTCTCCAAAGGTTAGTACTCACATGATTTATATGACGCTTGAAGCGATACACTCAAGAATCAAAGTCCTCATTTTTCACAATCTTAGGAGGAGGCCCGTCATGATTTAAATGAGTAGAAGGAATCGGTCCTCCATAAACTGGAGGTGCCACATGGGCAAAGATGCCGGTGCCATTTCTACCACTAGTAGAAGGTTCCTTTTCACTAGTAACTTCCCCCTTGTCGGAGTTAGCATCTGTCACCTTGTCAGTGCGATCACCCACTTTCAACGGCGAGGTAGATAGTTTAAGTCCTTCTAAGAATTTATTAAACATGCTTTCAACCTCGGTTGTCATGGAGGTTTTCAATGTGTCCAAAGCCACATTGAATTCTTCACGGGACACCGTGGTTCCCCCATCACCCCTAGACGAGATCGGATTCACACCGGAGTTCTCCTCCCCACCGTCTACAGTGTCAACCATACTCTTCAGATGGCAAAGTTCTTAATAAAGAGACGAGGCTCTGATACCAATTGAAAGGATCGATATAGTTGACTAGAGGGGGGGTGAATAGGCAACTACCAATTTTTAACTTTTCTTTACCAAATTAAACTTTGCATCAAAGTAGGTTGTCTAAATATGCAACTAGGTGAGCAACCTATATGATGCAACAACAATAAGTACACAAGCAAGCAAGGGATACAACACAAATAAGCTAGCGCAAGTAAAGGCACGAGATAACCAAGAGTGGAGCCGATGGATACGAGGATGTGTTACCAAAGTTCCTTCCTCTTGAGGGGAAGTACGTCTCTGTTAGAGCGGTGTGGAGGCACAATGCTCCTCGAGAAGCCACTAGGGCCACCGTATTCTCCTCACGCCCTCACACAATGCGAGATGCCGTGATTCCACTATTGGTGCCCTAAGGCGGCGACCGAACCTTTACAAACAAGGTTGGGGCCATCTCCATAACTTAATTGGAGGCTTCCAACGACACCACGAAGCTTCACCACAATGGACTATGGCTCCGCGGTGACCTCAACCGTCTAGGGTTCTCAAACACCCAAAAGTAACAAGATCCGCTAGGGATTAGTGGGGGGAATCAAATTTCTCTTGGTGGAAGTGTAGATCGGGGCCTTCTCAACCTATCCCGAGCAAATCAACAAGTTTGATTGGCTAGGGAGAGAGATCAGGCTAAAACGGAGCTTGGAGCAACAATGAAGCTTTTGGGGGAAGAGATGAGTCAACTTTGGAGAAGAAGACCCCCTTATATAGTGGGGGGAACAATCCACCCGTTACCCCCTAAGCAGCCCTGCAGAGAGCGGTACTATCGCTTAGCCAGTGGTACTACCATCCCACCCAGCGGTACTGCCGCGCAAAGGAGGGGAGCGAGGACATGGACCCCGAGCGGTACTACCGCGGTGGTAAGGGCGGTACTACCGCCTCTACTGCCGCAGCTAGTGCCGCAAAACCCGACACGAGAAAAAGGGCCCTCGAGTCGAGGCGGTAGGAGCACGGAGCCGCAGCGGTACTACGGCGGAAGGCTCCAAGCGGTACTACCGCTGAGGAGCAGTACTACCGCTTGTTGCTTTTCGGCGGTACTACCGCTGTGGCCCGCGGTACTGCCGCTGGGACCAGACAAAGCATACAGGGAAGGGAAAGAGTACTCCATTAAAGCGGGAAGGATCAGCGTGTGCGATAAGGATGTGTACGTGTTGATTCCACCCTAGCCTTATCAAAGCGGATCCCCTCTTGATAGTATGGTGACTCCTACGAAACTAGTCCACCAACATAGAAACGGAGCTGCACCGTCTTGAATAAAGCACCGAGGGGAGGGAATCGTCTCGTGCCAAAGGATGAATCTCTGAAAAGCTCAACGCACACGATTAGTCCGCAAAAGCATTGTCATCAATCACCGAAACACCTTAGGGATAAATATGCCCTTACACTTTTGGTGACGATGCAGTGGAACTCTCAATTGAAGCACCATGCTGGAGTCTCATTCTCCAATGCTAGCAGCAGCATACAGCTGCTAATCGAACTAAAATATTAACGTAAAGGTCCGCAAGCACCCGGTGCCTACCTTTGCTCCGACGCTAGCAAAAATCAAGGAATCGGGTAGGATTTTGTTATAACGGCCAGGAATCAGATCCTGGCGCCTGCGTTGTAAATGCCCTTATAATACCATTCTTGATATGAATCTCGCCATCAACTCCTTACCTAGCATGTCGATGTAGTATTTCTGATGCGGACTTAATGATCATTGTCTTCTTCAGGTCGACGGTCTTGATCATCGTATATTCAGAGTTACATTGGACACATTCATAGTTTCTGATGGAATGAATTTTCTTTCATCTGACTTTTCATTTATTCTATTGCTATACTATTATCCATTAGTTGACATCCCAAAAATGTCGTTTTGTTTGATTTTGAGAGTTGCAGGTTAGTGATTGTTGACTTTGATGCATTGGTAGTAGATTTTAAGTTCAATTAAACTAGGTGACATTTTTGTACAAGTTTTCGCGTATGTGGCAACATTTTTTTGTCTCCTACAGTTATTTTGTTCTGGAAGATGGTTATGGGTTACTTGCATTTTGACGTTACTCCAATAATAAGAACAGTTGTTCAGCTCAGGTAACATGATAACCACATGTACATGGATCCAACATCCAAATTTATTACTTTTAGCTATATGATATGCTGATCATGATGCACTCTTTTCATGTATGTAATAGGCAAGTTTCGTCACTTAAAGACTTCTTTGTTTCGAATTTTTTGTATTAGCTCATCATTACAATTCTTTGTATTAACACAACTGTTACAATTTGCTGCAAGCAATTCTTTTGTATGCACTCATTTGAAAGATATGTTTTCCCCACAAAAAGAGAAATGCTTTGACGCACATGCAAGTCACTATTTTTCTTTACATGGCGTATCTCTCCACATTAGAAATTTTAGCACAAAATATCCCGCAGCAACGCACGGGGATTCATCTAGTATATACAGAGGCAATGCTCAGGCGTTTCCACCGGCGCTGTTCTCTCATGCCCATCAAAAACAAGGGCACGTTATCTGATGTATGTATGCAATCATATGAACACAGGCACATGCATTAGTTATGTACATGTATCACAGGCAGTATGTTGGGACGTAGGCGTCATCCGCTACCTTCATCTGATTAAACCGGTTCAGGCCCAAACTGCAAGCGATGACATGGAGAGCGCACCTAGGAACAGGGCGACATAGGCCATCACTTGCTGCCGTGGCGACCCTGTCATCTTCCCACCCAAGAAATCGGCTGCGATTAGATCCACCAGCGCCATGTATATGAGTATGCCGGCCGACACAGAGTCGAGGATGCCTTCGACCACTAGAGCCCTGGGGCTATTGGCGTTGTAAAATGAGGACAAACCGGCCCCAGCGGCGATACCAGTTGGTGTTGTAATGGCAAAAAAGGACGCCATCATAACTGCCGAAAGGTTCTTAAACTGAGCCTGTTGGAAGAAATGTTGGCAGTGTGTCAAATTTGATAATCCAGATGAGAAAAGCTTTATCACAATAAAGCTACTTGAGAAGCTACTTATAGAGAAAACAATGGGGCAAGGGCAAAAGAAAACTATAGTCAGAAGATAAGTGACCCACATAATAACAATGCAGTTTTATATGCTTACGTCACATTAGCAACTTAAACAGAAACGGCAATATAACCTCAGCCAATAAGGTGTGGTATGATCGTCTGATTTTAGTGAGTTCAGTCGTTTGAAATCTATATAATTTTAGATTGGTTCAACAGCTATTAAAAAGATCAACAAGTACACGAAAACAATATTTTGGAAACACGAGGGAGCAATGTGGATGGGGCATATAAGGTCAGACGTTGAACATACAGGTATAAGAGCAAGTTATTTGGAAGATCAGTACATGAGCAGTGGAGCACGTGGAAGAAACACATTTTGCCAAATATTGGATTAAGCGTCGAGTATAAATTGGATTTTCTCACAAAGAAGAAATCAAATCAAAAGCGTTCAGTAGCAGACAGTTGCTCCTGGAGAGTGAGAGCCACAAATAATCCTGGACCTAACGTTTTAGAAGGATACTCATACCAATATGTTTTAGTTGTGCCACCTAGTTTTTTGGAAAAAAAATTGGTTATGTGCCTCATCACAGATAGATACTGACGATAAGCAGGAAAGTTATATGGTTCAAAGAAACTCGATGTACTAGAAGCCAATTCATACACAATAAAAGAATATTACTCCCTCCGTAAACTAATATAAGAGCGTTTAGATCACTACTTTAGTGATCTAAACGCTCTTATATTAGTTTACAGAGGTAGTACTAATTTGAGAAAGGCAAGATACACAGATGTTTATCTCCATACTATAAAGTCTATGTTGATGGCATGCAACTTGAATGGCTAATAGTTGCAAATGAAAAATAAGCTGGTGATAGAATATCCGCCGATCACAGCCTCAAATTTAAAATAGGTAGACCTTATATTTGTGAAGGTCAACCCTCCTCCATCCAATTAACAAAGGTGCAATCCCTGACGACAAAAACTAGAACTACATGCAAGTTCGACTAGTTAAATTGCTGGATTTAACTCAGTTTAACATAATCAGGTGGTGGATTCACAGCTCATGTTATGAGGGCGGCAGCTGACACCAGATTAGGGCTCCCTTCATAATGAATATCATTTATATTCCTGTATTTTCTTATGAACTGATACTTCTGAAGTTCTAAATCCTTGAGATTTCCATTTGTCAATGAAAATCTTGATATTTCCAGCTTTCTGGTTTCTGAGCTTGAGGTTTGTAAATTCGCATCCTTTTCTGTTGCATGTGATGCTAGAATTCACAACCGTAAATACTTAAATCAAGCGCAATTCAGTATAGTTATTTTATCCCTAAATCAAGACCATCATCAGAAAAAAAAAATGTTGCATCACTGTGAAAAATGGACGTCCACATTAACCTATATATTGTAAGAACAGACTCTACAAAGTGCAAACAGTAGAAGTTGTGGTCGTTCCAACTATTTTCATTTTCCTTGTAGTCATCCCACAATCGTTCCACATTATTCTATCAATCCATACTGAATTCCTCACCTGCGCAATGCACCCACCGAGGGCAAATCCCTCGAAGAACTGGTGGAATGAGAGCGCTGCCACCAGTGGCCTGATTGTGCAGGGGCTCCGAGACACACCAAGCGACAGCCCAATGATCACCGAGTGCGACACAATCCCCATTTCCAGTATCTGCAGGAACCAAAATCAATATATATTTTGAGGGGCAGTGCATCAAACAAGTGAACCCAAGGAAGAGATTACACCACCTGTGATACCACGACGGAGCGCACGTGGTCTGACACCTCCCCCTCGCGTCCTTGTGGTTGCACCAGCTCGTGACCATGCGACTGCGCGTGGGAATGGGAGTGGGCTTGCAAGAGCGGGACCTTGTGCTCACCCTCGACGACGGTGACCACGGTGATGTCTTCGTCGCTGGCGGAGGTGGACGCGGCGGCGAGTGCGGCAGCGGCGTCAGCCTTGACCCGAGCTACCTCCGCACGGTGCTTGGTCTCGTAGAACCTGGTGACCAGGACGTCGAGCACCAGCGTGGCAAGAGCAGCGAGCATGGCGACGAACCCGGGGAACGGGAACCGCCGCCAGGGCGCGGCCGGGAGGCAGGGGTTGGAGAGCGCGTGCTCGGCGTCGTGCAGCATGTGAACGAACCCCGTGGCCAGGATCACGCCGGCCGCGAAAGCCTTGGCGGCCACGAAGACAGCGCTGCCGGTCTGCACCGTCCGCCGCTTCCGCCCCACGAGCGGCAGGCCCACGCCCATCACGCCGGACACCAGTATCGCCGCCATGGCAATCCATTTGAGCCTCAGCGCCGCCGCGTCGTCCCGGCACCCCGCCCCCTCGGCCTTCTCCGCCTCGTCCGCGCAGCTCGCCGCGGACAGGGACGCCGCAATAAACCCTGAGCCACCATTGACATCGATCGGATCATCAACCACAAAGCGAACACAGTATGTGCTTCAAAGAAACCTCGAAAAGCAGACTGATTTACCGTTGCTTTTACTCAAGAGCTGGCCGATGTGCCGGCTGAAGCCTGCGACACCGATCATCATGGCCTGAGAATCCCGAGCGGTGCTAAATTCCTCGAGGACAAAAAACTCGGAGAAGATCGATTCGTTAACCTCTTCGCCAAGCCTTTCTTTTGATGCGGTGGATGCCTTGCTATCTTCGCACGTAAAAGCGCGCAGGGTACGAGAGAGAGAAAGAGGGGAGGGAGTGTCGTCATGGTGGCACTGCACCGAACAGCCGGGGTACTAGAGCGGACGTGATCCGTCAATGCCAACGATCCAGAATGTGGACGGTGGCGATTCCACCTGGGGTTGGAAGGTCGCGTTTCGCTGAGCTGCGGGCCAGACGGCTCTGCCGGTGGGGTTGCGGGTCTCCGGTGGGGAAAAGCGCGAGGGCGTGGACTGGATGCACGAACTCCTTGCTCTGCTGAACGTCGGTTCGTGCTTTGGACGGTCGAGATCGTGCTCCGCGAGCGTGGAGTTGTTACGTTGTTCTCCAAGGGGGTTCTAATACTTCGGCAGGGATGGGCTGCTGCTTGCCACACGCGATGGTGATCAAGTCGAGAGACTTGCATGCGGGGCATACTCCCTGTTTGGGCCCATTTGTCAGTCTGACTCATGAGATGGCGGAGGTTGGAGCTGGTCGTGGGTTGGTGCTTTGGGACGGAGTCGTGGGGGAGTGGGAAACGATGTCGACATAGTGAGGTTAGGCGGTTCGGGGATCCATTCGTCACCCATGTCAGCATTCCTGTGTGGGCTGGGCTCGTCTCATCGG